AACTCAGATCAACATTCACAGCACAAGGATTGGGGGGGTGGGAGTGAGAAAGCGAGCGAAAGGTGTAAGAGATGTCTAATGAAATCTGCTCAAAAGGGCACACCATGTAACATTTATATAAGCAAATAAGAAATTGTGATAGTGAAGGAGTGATATAAGGATATAGGTTTGGTGAATAACTCAGGACAGAAGTATAGATAGCACAAGTATTTAGCAGAAAATTCGCCAAAGGATAGTGGCATGACTCTCTATTTGAAAGCGGAAGTTTGTTGGAAAGAATTCGTGATACATTCTTTCCGGAAATCGAAGGAGGATTGCCGCGTAGGGAAGACTGGTGAATTTTGCAAAGAAGACATTTGCTCACTGCCCTGCGACCCAGATGAAACTGTGCTGAACTCTCGTCTGAACTGTGACAGACATCATCAGAGCAAGATTCCATACTTTACGGAATAGAGCAAAAATATACTAAACCAATAGAAAAAATGGCCGACGACAAACTCACTTGTTTTTTTATACACCTGACTTTGTGATCTTAATGAGGCCTTCCATGATTTGATTGGACACTTCAACCTTACTCTACCTGCTTGCAAATGTATGAAGTTACTTCACGAACCGGAAGGGCTTTTGGAGGCAACTGCTTCCTTATACAAATAAAATAGTGTACGATCGTCTAATGTTCAATCATATTTGGGCTTGTGCTATTATCTATTGTGCGTATATAATGCTCATGTCGTGGGAAATGTGATAGTCCTAGCTAGACTTGATGCTAATCTAACCTCCTTCTCGTGTTCAGTGGCTCTTCCTGCCACCATTCTCTCTCCCTTTTTTAAAATCTATCCAACAGCAAAAAAAGTTCATACTTAGTTTTCTATACTTGTTTCAGAACGTTGACTGTTTTGTTAATTTCTCTAGACTCCCTAATCTTACGCTTTGATGTGGAGTACCCGTAACCCACAAAACTTTGTGTTTTGGACCAGTCCATTTAGTGTCATGTACTGGCCATGCATTCAGCGAGCTCAGATTTTTGGACCAACAGACGTTTACAAGCGGTTTTGTGTTCGCATATTCCCTTATTAGTAGTTCGGTAGGTCTCCCTCACATAAACCTTAACCAATTAGCACAAAACCTTGTAGGAGCATGATCTAAAAAGAGGGACTGAATATTCTATAAACGAAGTAACCACTTAAGAAAGTGCAAAGTTCTCTTTATAGATTGTTTTTATGTTCCATTTCCTCAGTGGATCACTCAACTTTTTTGCAAGCTGATAGGAAGACAAAATCAGTAAACGAGTAGAAGTGTCCAGTTGTCTATCCCACACTCGATAGTAAATTCCCCTAATCTTTTTAACTACAATTGATATGTATTTGTATACTAATCCTAATGAGTAATTGCTTTGAAACAGTATATCTCCAAATCTACCAATCTCCTGGTTCCTATGGTTTGAATCTGCTAGACGCAGACTCCTTATTATGATAGACTTCATAAATCGTATTTTTACTCTATATGTATGGTTTGAGAAAAAATTACTAAGGAAACACGCGTGAGTGAGTTTCCTATATACGTCTCTACCCAACTTAGTACCTTTCTTGCTCACTAATACATCTAAAAAAAACTATTTATTTTCCTTTTTAACTCCATGGAAAACTTAGTATTTGCATCCATTATATTTATTAGCTCAAGGAATTCCCCAAAACTATCTTTGCCGTTCTGCGAAACAGCAGAGTAATCGTCCATACAACGAACAAATAACTTGGGAACTAGGAGTGTCTCTTGAAACACACGAATTTATAATTGGGCCATGTAGTTATTAGCCAAAATAGGAGCTAAACAAGATCCCATGGCCAAATCCTTTATCTTCTCATATAACTTAGCATTGAAGGTAAAATATGTATTATATATTGCCAAATTTACTAATAAAATGATTGAATCTTTGCTTACCTTTTTACCTGTTTTAATTTAATGGTGTTGATTTATAGTTAATTCTAGCACCTTCATTGCCTCGTCTATCGGAATGTTAGTGTATATAGACACTACATCGAAACTTACCAGCAAATCTCCCCTTTCTATTGTCTAATAATCAATTAATTTAATAAAGTCGCATAAGTTCTTTACTGAAAACTACCAAGTTTCGGAGATATGCTTTAAATGAGTATATATAAATCGTAATGTTTTATGCATAACGCAACCTCTATTATTTATAATATTCCTGAGTGAAGTAACTTGCTTATAGATTTTTGGCCAGTCATACGCATGGAGGGGATAAACTGAAGGAAAGGGAGAGAGATCAGGCGAAGAAAGAGCCAATGTGCAAGAGAAGGAGGCTGGATTAGCCTCGAGTATAGCTATGACTATCACATATCCCATGACATGAACATTACATACACACAAAAGACAATAGCACAAATCCAAACATGATTCAACATTAGACGATCATACGCTTGTTTTTGTGTAACAAAACAGCTGCCACCGAACGCACTTCCGGTTCGGGAAGTTAACTTCACCCATTTGAAAGCATGTAGATTAAGGTTGACGCAGCCAAACAAATCATGGAATGCCTCGTTAAGATCGCGATGAAAGGTGTATAAAAAAGCGACTAGCGTTGCAGCCGACCACCTTTTCTCTTGGTTTAGTATATTTTGACACTATTTCGTAAAGTATGGAATCTTGCTCTGATGATGTCTGTCACAGTACAGACGAAAGCTGGCCAAATGATCGACTTCACTTGTCTCTGACGGCTTGTAGTATAGTGCTAAGACTGGAAAGGCTCACTGACGATGCCGGTGAACCGTGTTGCAATGTACCAAGTCCACGGTACGATTGTAAATTATCATGTATACTATGTACTTGACTAGGTTTGACTAAACGCGTTCCTCTAGATTTTCCTGTTAATATGGCCAAGTCGCGGTAACAAGGTCAAACACCTACTTGAATAAATTTTTGACGTTGTGGCTTTCTGTAGAGAATGCCTACAATGCAGCCTTTCTTGTAAATAATATAATTACCAGACAATTTGGCATTTACTATTACTATTACTAGCTGAATTATACTGTCGATTAGATTAGTATTACTTCAGATGCCATTACTCTCTTATCTGAGGGAGGCTTTTGTATAAATTATGCCCTGACTTGAAAATATTAATTTTATTACATTAATGTGGTTTATTTTTTGTTTTTTCCTTTATACTTTCTCTCTGTGATGCTGAGGACATTTTTATTTTGGCCAATTAATTCTTAAAGCGATGCCTCACCTCGTCTACTGACTTTAGTGTAGATTGGTTGTAGCACTTGATAGGTTTTGTCCTTTTAAATTCGCATATGCCACTTCATATCCTTTTAAAACTCAAGTAAACATTTTTTTTATGTCTGACATTTATTTGCAATATATATAAGCATCAAGCAATAGGCAAAAATGATTTTTTACTTTTCAATGGCCTAAAGACTTCACAAGTGCATAAGTCACATAAAACTTATAGTGCTAAAATAAGGCAAATATTGCTCTAGATGCTTGGTGCTGGAGCACATTTAGAGTCAAATCAAGTTACATGCTATGCATTGTTAATTATGCTTTGATTCAAGTAAGCTAGTAGTCTTAATTTGTTATTGTGCTTCATTCTGCCGCCCCATATACTCATCTTTATTGAGAACAGAATAGCCCTCCGGCTCTGCCCAACGCACGGTATGGCCCATTACCATCGCGGTTTAGTGTACCTTTTGAATGATCAACTGCGTGAGGCAGAAGTTGCCTTCTCCAATGCCATCGAGCTCGAGCATCATCCTCCCCTCGATAGCCTGAACCTAACACCTGTTAATCAAGACCCCAGCATTTGGTTGGCGCGTGGAGTCGTGCGTCACCTTCTTCATGAAAGAAATGAGGGGAAAGATGGAAAATTGGCTCCAACCAATTGCGGTTGGCTGGAAGCGGCTCTGGCTGATATTGACATGGCCCAAAGCCTTCTAGGTACCTGGCCGCAATATTCAGGAAAAGCCTCCTCAAAGTCCACCGAATTCCTAAGAGAGGGAACAGTAGAAACTCCAGAAAACCCAGTAAAAGGAGGCTTAACTAGATGCCGAACTCAGCTGGGCCTCTGTCCTTGGGCCAGCATTCATTTCAACAGAGCCCAAATCTTGATGGAGCTGGGCCTTCTACACAAAGCCGATGAAGAGTTGACAAAAGGCAAGTCTGCCCTCAATATCATTTTGTAGTATTAATGATAAAACTTGTGGCATATTTCTAAATGAATTTACAGAAGCTTTAACTAAAAACAGCTGGAAATTTCAGCTTCTTTGTTATACGTTTGTTTCCGGCAAATTTTTTAAATCCGAAACTTTGGTAATCTACTCAAAACTGGAAAAGCTAAGATACAAATTGACACCTTATCTGTTTCAATGAGTTCACGTTTTCTTTTACTTGATTTACCGATGAGTTAATTCTTCTGAAAGTAATGAAGTCGGATGGGACTCATAGTAACAATTAATTCTTCGGACAAAAATTATGACTCAGCCCAAGAGTTTTAGCTAATGTTATTACCTAAGCACTCCTGTTAGTTATTAAATAGTTGTCTTAACATATAGCCCAAGGTCTATATCCAACCGTCCAGTAGCAGGATTTTTGTTTCATTTTTTTCTCTGACCCAACACTATTTGTAATCTTGTAACATTTTCAAGCATTATAGATATGCGAAACAGGCAATATTCATCCTGTTGTGTACTTACTTATTCCATTATATCGAGAGGGAGTTTCCCATTTCTCAATATGAATAGGTTACTTGGAAATCGACATCTCTTCTCAAGTCCATGGTCTTGTCAGAATCTTGCAATTGGAAGGATGGCCGTCATGAATCATTGCAAGGGATTTTAGGCTAAAAGGCTGCTTGGAGAATCTCCGAAACTAAATCCAAGGGACTTTGATAAAAGTGGATATTTCTCATTTGTAAGTATCTTTTCGATACTACCATTAGATCATATATATATATAAGGCGTGTATTCACTTTATTCGTTTAAGGTAATGAAGTACTTATAGTTGAATTTTATCATACTTAGAAGAATCGGCCCCACGCTTCCAATGAATTTAACATAGCCTTGTTTCTCAAAAAATTGTTTTATCCAGGCTGGATAGTGGTCTCGACCTTACCTAGGTCTAATCAGTACTCCCAGTAGGATTCGAGCCATGTTAGTTCAGTATGACGTAGTGGTTAATGTTTCAATACAATACGCTGCGATACCAGGGTTTGAGTCTAACTTGAGGTGCAGTACACCATGAACGAGAATACCTTTTGGGACACCATTTTATGTGAAATTGAATAGCAACTTAAAGCCTACTCATATATATCATTGTGGGAAAATTCAACTTCCAGTCCTTCATCGCCTCAAACGAAAAGAGGCTGAATACAGCTCTTATAAGTGTTTATATATTGATTTGGCTTCTATTTTTTTTAAAGAAGCTCCTCTTGAAGCCAAAAAAGTTTTTCTTGGAGTTTTGAGTGTAGATTTATGCGAATAACTCATTAACTCGCTGTTCCGCAA